AAATACACAGAAGTGTTATTTCCCTATATATACTACAGTAAACTGTACCCCCTCCCAAACAAGCGTCTTTTTATTGATGAGGAGTATTTGATTTTACTGGTACTTCTTTCAAGTTTGGAGAAGATGATGTTTCAAACTTTGGTCAATAATCCTTTAGAGGCCCCACCCTTACACCCAGATTAGGGGAAGGAACCCCATATCTTTCAATTTTGGAATCCTATGCTACCCAAGATGATTCTTGATAAAGTTTGAAATAAATACATGTACCATTTCTTAAGAAAAAGTCAAAAGACACACATATAGCACAACACACGATGACGGACGATGGACGAAAAGCGATCACAAAAGGTCAATTAAGCTTCGGCTCGATTGACCTGAAAAATATAAGCTGAAACATATTTGACACACATTAAGTGACCTAGAATGAAAGTCAGTATAAATTATTTGAAAAACCTTTGAGTTTTCAGGACTCTAGGCCTTATTGAATAAATTGAAAGTTTCTTAATATTTAAACATATTTGATCATTGTGGTCTTGAAAGACAGTCAAGGCCATATATTTGTACAGGTTTGATAGCCCCATCCCAGATACCTATTGAAGAAATACCATTACCCTAGCATTTCTTTTACGTTAAAGAGGTCCTTCAATTATATTTGAAACCTGTGACCTTGAATGAAGGTCAAGGTTACTTATTTAAATAACTTCATAGCAATCCACCCCGGTTATCTACCTGTCAAATACCATGACCCTAGGCCTTAGTTATTAAAATGTCAATATGTCGGTTGTAAAAGACGGCGAACAATGCACAATGGCAGAAAGTACTAATCGTACTTCATTCAAGCAAACAACAGGTCAAATAGCTGATGGTAATCTAGACCTTATAAAGACATAAAAATCCATTTAACATATTTGACCCCAATGACCTTGTGAGAGTAGTTCATTGTCATTTACTATAAAGTAACTCTGAAACAGTCTACCTCAGGGGGTTGCAGGAGTCCGACCCTTTCTTTATACAAAATTTGGATTCACTGTTCCACAGCTAAGGTGCCCTGTGCCAACTTTTGCTTTTATTGAGGAGGACATTCGAACAAATTGTTAACAGACAACGGAGGCCGCTATATGGCACAAGCTCGTCTTATCTTTCAGACCAGGTGAGCTAATAAAGGAATACTAGTACTCATATACTATACATAATGCTGTTTATTATACAAATTGTGTTGATTCTACACACCAAGTCATGTACTTGTTTTCAACAAATTCATTATAAATGCGTGTACACAATACAAATATATTTCAGTAAAATTTACATTTCACTACCATACTATTATCTCTCAATTATAGACATACAACCTGTTTTCTCTATTATAATGCGATATCCATATATACATTATACAATAATATTTAAATTGATGTACACATTCCTGAAGAAACATATTACATTCTTTTCACTTTATACAGAATATTATTACATGTAAATTATATCTCATTCTTAAGTACATATACATGTTATATCTGTCTCAATGTTCAGACTAATACAATTAGGTTTCCAAGGTAACAGTATATTGTTATATACATAATACAAAGATACACAACCTGTTTTCTCTATTATAATACGATACCCATATATACATTACTTTAGAATATTTAAATTGATGTACACATTCCTGAAGAAACATTCTACATCATGTAAGCTTAAAACATTCTTTTCACTTTATATAGAATCGTGTTCCATGTTAAGTATATTTAATTCTTAAGTACATACACATGTTATATCTGTCTCATTGTTCAGACTGATAAAATAAGGTTTCCAAGGTAACAGTATATTGTAACTGCAGCCCGAACCTGCTTGGCATAAAAATACAACTCGGTCAGGATTTGAACTCCTGATCATTTAACTGCAGCCCGAACCTGCTGGGCATAAAAATACAACTGGGCCAGGATTTGAACTCCTAATCATTAAACTGTAGCCCAAACCTGCTGGGCATAAAAATACAACTGGGTTAGGATTTGAACTCCTGATCATTAAACTGTAGCCCGAACCTGCTGGGCATAAAAATACAACTGGGATAGGATTTGAACTTCTGATCATTAAACTGTAGCCCGAACCTGCTGAGCATAAAAATACAACTTGGTAAGGATTTGAACTCCTGATCATTAAACTGTAGCCCAAACCTGCTGATCATAAAAATACAACTGGGCCAGGATTTGAGCCAAGAACTTCCAATCATTATACTGTTACATTAACATACTTATTACAACTGGACCAGGCCAGGATTCAAAACCAAGACTCCAGATCATTATACAATTACTCTAACCTATTGACCTGTCTACTCAATTGTAGAGTCCTGGACGAGCTGCATCATTGTTTCATGTGTATGTTTACATATTCATCAACAGTTTTTTAATGAAATTTGTTTTTTAAAATGCAATTTGATAGAAATCTGTTCAGGACCACAAACTGTTCATGGTATGGTATTCTAGTTCTTGTCCAATATATAAAGTTTGATCAAAACTTTTTGAAAAATGAAGTTTTAAAGGGATGACAAAGATTTTCTATAAAAGTGATGTTGACCTTATTCTTGGTATCCTGAACCAAAAACTTGTTCGAGAGGTCTCATACATGTTCAAAGCATGATGTTTGATCAAAATTCTTTCAAAAATGAAGTTGTTTAATCAATTACAAAAATGTTCTATAAAAATAGGCACTACTGAACAAGTTCATGATATGTCAGCATCATGATATAATGGAAATACAACATAGGTTCCTATTTATGGTAATCTTTTCAACAACCTTGGCAATTTCAAAAAGAGTGTAGCACATTGAAGTTAAAATAATGAATATCATTCATGTGTATAATTATGATCAACATATTGACAGATAAATATTATATCAAGTTATGGTTCAAACTGTGTTGGACAATGAGGGTAGAATACAGAAAAGACAACTGAAATTAATCATTTTTATTAAATGTACTAAAACTTATGGACACATGAAGATTTTGATGCTCCTTGACATTGGGGAAATTACCTTGTATCATTGTCATCACACACTCTAGGATTTTGGACACCAATCTTATGAAGTAGGACACAGATTCAGAAGATCATAAATTATGGACTAGATACAGTTTATTGATGTTGATGCCCCATGACCTTGACCTTGGGGAAATGACCTTGGGTGCAGGTCATGACACAACCCTATGTTATGAGCAGCAATCTTCTACAGCTGAATTGATACAAAAAGTTAAAACAATAAATCTGTGTGAACAGTCTGAAGATGTTGATACCCCATGACCTTGACCTTGGATACATGACCTTGGAGCAAATTCATGACACACTCTTGGGGAACAATCTTATAAGTTTTGTATGTCCAAGAAAAAATGACAAATGAAGGAGTCAGACATGATATTGTGAACAGGTCATGCTAAATCTAGGTTATCGTCAACAATCCAATAAAGTTTCATAAAGATACAAGTAAGGTTACAAAGTTATGAGCCGAACACAATATGTGTACGGACAGACAGACGAATGAATAACGTCAAACCATAATACACCCCTGCATTACAGGTGGGCATACAAAAACGTAACAGTCACCTTGACCCTGGCTCCCTGAAACAAGAACTTATAGGGGTTCTCATACTAGACCGACATATTATGTTGATTAAATTCTGTTCAGAAATAAATTCACTAAAGCGATTACAAATACTTTCTATAAATAGTAACGATAACCATGACCTTGGGAACCTCAATAACGAACTTGCAGGTACATGTACATGTAATCTCACAAGTTGATCTTTAATGAAGTTTCATGGAAATTCGTGCAGGAATGAAGTTGCCAGAGTGATGAGAAATTCTATAAATAGTAATGATGACTTTAACCTTTGGTCCTTCAAACTTGAAAGTATTTCTCATGCCTAGCCAATGTCTGGAGTTTGATCAAGATCCTTTAAAGCAATGACAAAATGTTACTATATGTATGTACGAATTACCAAAGTAGTCGTACAAAACCAATGCTATATCCCGTCCACAACCTTGTTGCGAGGGAATAATAACTACATCTAGAGATGATAAAATTAAAAGTCATATTAATAAAAATATCAAATGTATCTTATGTATTTAATTTCACTATTGCATAAAATATAGCAAGTATCCAGCACAAGTGCATGGAAAAAAAACCAATTGGTTATATATCTTAAGGAAATGATATTAATCTAGACTATATAATATGATAATGGTGTATGAAAAAAATCTATTTAAAACATTATGGTTGAAAATATACAAGAAAACATACAAGTATCATGTGTTTTAACACAGCCATTTTATCAAGCTGTATCATGTATATGTGGTACTCTACACGAGGATATTTTTAGACGTTGAATGTCGTCTTTACACTGCGAACAAATTCTGGAAGTTCGCCAAGGAAGCGTTAGAATTTATATCTGTATCTCATTAAGAAACATGCATGATATGCATTGCTTAATGTGAATTTATGCCTGAACAAACAGTCATATATATCACTCCTGACAAAGTCCGTTCTGTCATCTGTGAAGCCAAACCACCTCGCAATTCCACCTCACCCCCTCGTGCTGAAGTCCGAAGGAGACATCCTTATACTAGTTAACACTCCTTGCAAAAGAATTAAACTTAAATTAATTTTGATATTTTTCTAATTTATCAACAATTTGTCAAAGTTACCTGCTGTTTAGGTTCCATTCATCCACAGGACTAAACATTCATACTCATTGGGGGAGATTACACATTCTCAGAATTAAAAAGCATAAGTAAATGAATGTGTGTCCACCATAGAGAATAAATTACACTTTTAAATGGTATCTTTTGAACTGTTCTTTCAAATGAAATCATCAGATCTTTGAAAATAGGAATAGTTTAGCAAATTCATTGGTTGAAAATGCTAAATTATAGGGCCCAAAATCGGTGGTCTTCCTCCTAAAACAGAGAAGGTTGGTAAGTATGAACATTATGTATGCAATACTTTAATAACATTTAAAACAACCTATAACACCACAATCATAAGCGATCATAAAACATCAGAGTTTAAATTCATCAACTCTGGTCTAAAACCTGATCCTTTCCATTGAGGTCTTAAGTGTTTCCCAAAGAAGATATATACCCAGCTAATATATCGTAATCTAGAATATGAAGGCGGTGCTTTTTTTCAGTTAGTGCTGGGTATGACTTACATAAATATAGATAAAGCTCCTTGTTTCCAGTCACATTACTCCAGTATAACACCGTTACCCCATAGACATCCACTAACTGAGCCATGTACTGAGCACACACACAGTTCCTATGAACTACATTACTATCGACTGACTCACACTTATGTTGTTGGTCCTCAACTCTATATAAGGAGTTAAGTACATACCTCTCCACTATCTGAAACACAGAACATTTTCCTCCAAACGCCGCAGCATGGATCGGGGTAAATCCACTCATATTAGTGTCATGTACCAAGTGTGGGTAAGTGTCACATAACAACGTCACCATTTCGTCTCTCTCATACACACACGCCCAATGTAGGACATTGTTAGAATCAAAATCCCTCGCTATAGGAGTGACATCGTATTGGAGTAGTTTACGTAACACTTCCTCACTCCGTCCCTCCACCACACACATCACTGTGTCCTCGTCAGGTTCTACTCCCTCACACAGAAGATATAAAGCACATTCTTCTGCACTACGAGAACATGCTTTATTCAACACATCAAGTTTTGTCTCGTCATTCAAGTATACAACAATTTTCTTAAGTAAACATACTTGTTTGTTACTATCATTCCAATGTCCACTAACCAATGACACTGCTGTGTCCTTGTGGGGTTTTATACCTTCTGATAGAAGAAATAAAACACATTCTTCCTCACAAAAATAACATGCTTTATTCAACACATCAAGTTTTGTCTCGTCATTCAAGTATACAACAATTTTCTTAAGTAAACATACTTGTTTGTTACTATCATTCCAAAGTCCACTAACCAATGACACTGCTGTGTCCTTGTGGGGTTTTATACCTTCTGATAGAAGAAATAAAACACATTCTTCTGCACAAAAATAACATGCTTTATTCAACACATCAAGTTTTGTCTCGTCATTCAAGTATACAACAATTTTCTTAAGTAAACATACTTGTCTGTTACTATCATTCCAATGTCCACTAACCAATGACACTGCTGTGTCCTTGTCAGGTTTTACACCTTCCGACAGAAGATATAAAGCACATTCTTTTGCACCACAAGTACATGCTTTATTTAAAACATCAAGTTTTGTCTTATCATTCAAGTATACAACAATTTTCCTAAGTAAACACACTAGTCTGTTACCATCATTCCAATGTTCATTAACCAATAACAATGCTGTATCCTTGTCAGGTTTTACACCTTCCGACAGAAGATATAAAACACAAGCTTCTGCACCATAAAAACATGCTTTATTCAACACAGCAAGTTTATCAATTTTTCTGTCAATCAACAACTTGACAAATTTTTCAACAAATACAGGATCATTCCATACATCTAGAGAGCCAATACTAGTACCATATAGATACTCCTTACATTCAAATTCTCGGAGTAGACGCTCACACATTTCTGTATAATGATCAGATGATATGACAATCATGTTAGCAGTCGTCTCTGAGGTTGTTAGATAACTGAGGGATTTGCTGGGACAATTCTGTATGTAGCCAATCGGTGTGACTTTTCCATACAAAAATGCAACAGCAACATATATAGAATCATGATTAAATCTGTACACATCCTCAACAGACCAATGTTTCTCCTTCGCTACGAAGTCCACATAAAACCTGAAATGTGTCTCCTTCACTACTAAAAATCCTAACAACTTTTCCAAAGTTTCTTTTACAAATCCTACTTTTTTCTTATATGTCAATTTTGTACGGTAATCTTCACCATCAATCAAATTGATTTCAAAAGCTTCTTCCAGCAATTTTTCATCGACTTTTTTACTGTTTGGATCAAGATCGTTTACTCTTATCATTCCACCATTGAGGAAGAGGTACAAAAGTGCAGAACATTCTTGTAATCTTGACAATGCTTCATTCAAGAAATAAAAAGGATTTTCAAAAAATCTCACTCGCTCTTTCTGCAATTCTTCAGAATTGTAGAAAAGCTGGCAACATTGTGGGAATCCAATGTTTGGTGCATAAGTTGAAATTTGTTTTTTTTCTTGATCTGTCCATGAAAAGTGTTTTGGCTTATACAGCTCTAAAAGTTCTTTTTTTTCTTCTGCAAATTGGTATGTATGTGAACTTAAATCAATAATGTTATCTTTGATTAAAATTGTTCCAGGAGAACGCTTTTGCAAAGAATTGAATACTTCATTACGAATAGTAACGATGAGAAAATTGGTCTGGGTTTGTTTATCTACAAAAAGTGTTTCTACATCTGAGATTCTTTTGTTCCACTCTTGTACATCCGTTTTACTCACATTTTTCTCACCAAAAATATCATCAATATAAGTGATCAATTTTAATTTTGGGGCCAATAATCGTAAATCTTCAATCTTGTGAATTTGTAGGGGTTGTCCGGCTTGCTGCTCCTCACTCAGCCAATGAAGGAGTTGAACGGCGATTGCTGTTTTACCGTCCCCCGTGTTTCCCTTGATGACAACAACCCTGTTCTTTTGAAGCTTGTCTTTAGCATCACAGAAACCTTTGGTGGGGTAGAATTTTTTCTCCTCTTTTTCTTTTTTAATTCTGGCTTTGGCTGTTCCTGAAGGGAAAAAAATAGAAAATATAGGGTGAGAAGTCTTAATTGTGTGAAACTGATATTTCAGAATGAAACTTACATAACTTTAATCTGTAAGTCAGAGTTTTTTCATTTTACTTTCAAATATAGAATATTGTTGAATCATTTGCAAAGGAGGAGTTGAATGAACAAATTAATTGTATTATCATAAAATATATCGACAGATATTTTACGAATCATAGAAAAAATTATGTAACCGGTTAGGATGCGCAATCAACACAACTTTAGAAACTTCATTCTCACAAAACATTATGTAAGCAAAAATCAGTTTCCAAACCTTTCAAAATCACAGAGAATCATGACGTCACAAATACATTTAGTATGACGTCACAAAATGTGTTTTTTTCGGCAGTCAAAGAATGTTAATCAATTGAAATTCTTTCTACATTATGTTTATATATTTATGTTCCAATTATATGTTTAACTATGTCTTGGCATGTTTATCCTAAAAGAAGTAATCATTTCTAACGTCTCTGCTAGGGATCAAACCCAGAACCTCTGGTTTACTTGTCTTGTGCTCTATCAAATGAGCTATGAGTATTTCCTTTTAGCCCGATAGGTAGAGGGTCAGACTAGTAAGCCGGTGGTCTGAGGTTTAATCTCGAGCAGAGACATTGCATTGAAAAATGACCTCTGTTACAATCATGAATTACGTAACTTGTAGTTGTTACAGAACAAGAGGCCTAAGGGCCTTGAATTCCTCACCTAGCTATTTTAGAAATCTAGTTGAAATCTGGCCGATAGTTTGGGAAGAGTGTGCCTAAAGGAGGGTCAGCCCTTTATATCAATTGCATTTATTTGCTTTAAATTTGATCCCCATGGGTAAAGGACACTACCACAGCAATTAGCTTAAAACCTGCCATGTAATTTGGGAAGAGATATGTCATTTAAAGTTAAACTTCCAATTCAACCTCTTTTGATCCTAACTCTCAACCACCAAGAATCAGCTCTTAATTTGAGTAAAGTTTGACCCTGAAGGGCTGAAGATGCTACAACATTTTTATCCTTTATCTATAAATCTTTTGATTACCTTGGCGTAAGGATTTTAGAAATTGGTTGAATTCTGCATAACGGTTTAGGAGATATGTCATTCAAAGCAAAAATTGATCGAAGACAGAGACGACGACAGATGAAGCACCACCACAAAAGCTCACCAGTACTTTGTTCCTAATGAGCTTAAAATTCCAATATGATTTTAACAAAAAATCTTTCATTCTGTTCCTCTACAATATCTATGGTGTAAGATCTGATGACATGACATCAGGGGTCATTCCTCTGGTGACCTTCAATACAAACATCATGTTTAATTATATGTATTTGAAATATTGAGACTATTGGAGGGCATTTCAATGAATGGCTGCAATTACATTCACCAGAGCATGACCTGCTATGAACTTGTCGTTAGATCCTTCACCGTAGTGTGTGGAAACAGAGAAAGAATAAACTTTATCAGATTGGTGTTCAATTTGGTTATCAAGTCTACTCTTTTGGAAAACCAAGATTCTTGTTCTAAAAGAACTATAAAACTTGTCATATATGTTTAGATGATGCATGTAATTCTTGTCCAAATCTTAAGGAAATCTGCTGCGTTTCTTCTCTAACCATGTCCAATCCAATAGATAAGACTCACCTATCATGGGTTCCAAGTCAGGATGGATTTCTGTAAAATAAGAGATTTACATTAAATAGGTAAGATACAATTTGAATTATAAACAGATGATTTATTCCAGACAAATTTTCTTACTACTTAAATCTTACACAGTAATCTCAACCTGACAAGTCGGTTACCAAACTATAGATCATAATAGTACACTAGTAGATATCATTACATATATACATGACAGAACTAGTACAATCGTAGATATCATTACATGTATACACAGCAGAACTAGTACACTAGAAGATATCATTACATGTAAACATGACAGAACTATTACACTAGTAGATATCATTACATATATACATGACAGAACTACTACACTAGTAGATATCATTAAATGTATACATGACAGAACTAGTACACGAGTAGATATCATTACATGTATACATGACAGAACTAGTACACTAGTAGATATCATTACATATATACATGACAGAACTAATACACTAGTAGATATCATTACATGTATACATGACAGAACTAGTACACTAGTAGATACCATTAAATGTATACATGACAGAACTGTAGTACACTAGTAGATATCATAACATGTAAACATGACAGAACTAGTACACTAGTAGATATCATTACATGTATACATGAAAGAACTAGTACAATAGTAGATATCATTACATGTACACATGACACAACTAGTACACTACTAGATATCATTACATGTATACATGACAGAACTAGTTCACTAGTAGATATCATTCATGTATACATGACAGAACTAGTACACAAGTAGATATCATTACATGTATACATGAAAGAACTAGTACAATAGTAGATATCATTACATATACACATGACACAACTAGTACACTACTAGATATCATTACATGTATACATGACAGAACTGTAGTACACTAGTAGATATCATTACATGTATGTACATGACAGAACTAGTACACTAGTAGATACCATTACATGTATACATGACAGAACTAGTACACTAGTAGATATCATTACATGTATACATGACAGAACTGTAGTACACTAGTAGATATCATTACATTTATAGAACACTAGTAGATATCATTACATGTACACATGACAGAACTAGTACACTAGTAGATATCATTACATGTATACATGACAGAACTAGTACAGTAGATATCATTACATGTATACATGACAGAACTAGTACACAAGTAGATATCATTACATGTATACATGACAGAACTAGTACACTAGTAGATATCATTACATGTATACATGACAGATCTAGTACACTAGTAGATATCATCACATGTATACATGACAGAAGGTAATTGTCTTCTGATTCTTTTACATCACATGATAATGTTGAAGTGGGATTACAATTTACTAAAAGGGTAGAATTTGAAATTAATTTCAATAGTCTAGCTACAGACTGAATGTCCAGTGACTTAAAGCCAGAGACAGAGCTAGTTGGACTTTCCAAGTATTCCTATATATTGACAATAAGGTGGAGATACTGGCTTTCTGGCACTTGGTCTGACTGTTGTTTATCTTTTCAAAACATTCCACTATACTTAGTTTCTTTATTCAAATTCAGAAAACAACCTGCTAGTAAAATATAACCAGATGTACGTCTGGCTATAAAGGCCTGTGGATAACACTGCAGCTGTCAAACTTACATAAATAATCATAAAAACACAATTCAATGGTGGAATGATGTATGATGATAACATAAAGTGTGACCTGAGCTCCTGTTCTTTCTGTAATTGTAATGGTTCCACCATTACCAGGTATGTAGACCTGTAAATGCATGGGCGTCACTGAAAATATTTTCGTGCACTTGTGTGTACATGTACATCCCTCTACAAATATAGAATTCACAACCAAACTTAACGTGTTTACATCCCTCTGAACATGTACGTATCACAAACCTGTAGAATATTGCTGGCCTTGATCTCTTGTCTTTGCTTGCTTGGCCGGTGATGGACCTAAAAAAAAAATAACGTGTCAATTACTTTCACTAACTATACACTATATATAGATTGAGCAGAGATGATCTACAGATGTACTTGTATTAAGGCTAAGATCGTTACAAAACTAGACTGAAGTGCTGGTTTCTAACTTTTCATTGACATGCTTGTACATACTCCCATGGTATATGTTTTGTTATTACCCATGAAATATAAGAAATTCACCATTTGGAAAAAAAGACTTCTATTTTCACTTCATGAGTATAAATTCTGATCTAGTAACCTAAGGATTGACTATATTCATTCGTCAATTTCAGAGATGTCGTATGACAGTTTTACCCCAACGTTTAATTAGAATCTGACGGACACAATGAGGAACACAATTCCAAACATCACCCAAACACTTCAGGTGACCTTATTAGGGATTAACCAGGACCATGTTTGGGGTGATATAGTATATACCGAAAAACCTGTATGCACAAAAGTGCAAACAGTTTTTTTGGTAAAACCCTGAAAAGAATCAGGATTATTCCTAAGACTTTTTTAGTTCTGAATAAAAATAGAACAATTTTGTACTAAACACAACATTGCGCAGTAATGCCAATCAGAAGTTAGAATTGCAATTACTGCTCAAAACATTGCGGTATAAGACGTCATCACTTTCTGTACTGGTATACGATACAAAAGGCCCAGAGGGTCTGCATCGGTCACCTGCTATTCTCACACTTTTAAGCTTAAGATTGGACCAAGGTCAAATATACTAAATATGTCTAAATAAAGCTATAGGATAATATCATAACCAATGACTCTTGGTTATTCAAATAACAAGAGGCCCAAGAGGGCCTGTATCGCTCACCTGAATATTTAAGCAGTCATAGCAAAATATTCTCATTAAATATTATATTGCACTAAAAATATTTCCCTCGCAAACTTTGTTGGCTCCATCTGTTGAAACTACCAGCAAAATATTATTATAAGATTCTATGCTTTTTGATTCTTCTTCAGAAGTTGCT